TGTGTATGGATCAGCATTGGCAGGGCTGGCCCGGAACGAGAGTGTCCCTGTGGGGCCTCGCAGGGTGTGTTTCAGTTTGGAGTTGTGAATGGCTCTGGGTACAGCAAGCCCCACCTGATGTCTTCCGGCCACTGGTGACCCCCGTCCCTCCTGGCTGCGGGAGATGTTTGTCCTGTGGCCTCTGTTTTGAGGGTGGGTTCTTGAGGTCTGTGTTCCTCATGGTAGACTGTGACTAGAATCTTTTGAAAATGTTATTGACAAGTTAGTTCACGCATAAAAAATTGCCCTACCGTTAGGTGGTGGCATTAGACTTTAAAATGTGTGTTTGGCCCACCTCTGTTAATAATTTGCCACTTGGCTTTGGGCCTGAGGATCTGGATTGTGTGAATCTGGAGGTTCCTTTCAACTATTTAATAGTTAGTGGATTTCTGTGCGCTCCTTTTCAGCTGAACTGTAATTAAAGTGGATGATGACCATCCACCATGAAAAAGAATAATTTTTAAGTATGTGAAAATATTTGAGAAATTGTGTGAGAGATGCAGTATCTGCACCAAAGATCACCTACATCTCAGGGACATTGCTTGTTTGCATATTTGTGTGTATTTTTAATCTGAATAATGAATTCAAGGCTTTAAAAAAATAACATGGTTTTATATTGGTGTAAATCTGTATAATGTCTGGGTTAACATTAGTTTTTTTTATTTTTGGAAGGATTCCATGCTTTTATCCTGACGTCTGTGATCGTCGGAGCATCTCTCTTTTGGGGTGTGGAGCTTTATTACGTGTACAACCATTTCCTTCAGTTTGCGCTGGGGGCAGTTGTTTTTTCTGTGGCCTTGAGTGTTTATCTCTACGCACGGGCTTTGAAAGCACCCAGGAACGAACTGTCGCCTGCCAGCTCTGGTGAGCAGCGTTACAACGTGGGTTGAAAGAGTGCAGCCCAGAGCCCTAACTTCATTTTATGGGAGATGAAGAGAAATAGGAAAAAATTAAAAAGATGAAGAAAAATTAAAAAATGAATTTAAAGGGAAAAAATCTGTTTGATTTTTCCCTCATACTTCCCTATTCTTTTTTCTTCTTTTCTTAGTCATTTGATGTCAGTAAGACATTTTAGTAACTTATAGGCATCACACTTTATGACAGATACTTTTTGTCTAAAATAGTAAATAGCTTAAAAAAAACAAAAAACAAAAAAAGAAAAAACACATACCCAAAGGAACAGAAGCTACACATTTTAGAAAAATAAGTTGCTTATTTAAAAATAGAGTCTACATTAAAAAAAATTCTAGTTCCCTTAAAATTGGAGGACCTGGCAACACGGGCCCCCATGTCTCCATAGCTTTGGCCCTTCCATAGCAGGCAGCGTTCCCCAGTTCCTTTGGTCCCCGCCATCCTCTCTTACCCTGTTACAGAGCCCAGTGGCACAGCAGAGCTGTGGTGGCGCAGTGGTTAAGAGC